CGTATCTTCCATATTTTTCGAGATATTTGACTGGCTCTTTTAAAATGGACTACCCTGTATACTCGTATTCAAGTTTTTGTCATGAGTGTATATAAAGCCTGCAAAATGTGACTAATAATATTGTAATATATCTATCTCTATCAGTTCAATTTTTGACACGATGCCTATACAGGATAATTCAAATATTGAACTGATTTTTGGAAAATCGAACAAATAATTGTTCGATTTTTACTTATTCGGGCAATTCCTGTCCAAAAAAATCTTTAATTTTATAAATCAAATTATTTAAATTTACCTATATGTTTTAACACATTAATATGTATTATTATATATTAATACTGTAACTGATCTAATTTTTGTCGTCGAAAATTGCCGTAGATCTGCTGGGCATTTGGCGCAAATTTGTTGTCGGTCTGCGGTTGACAAACCTGCTCTCGATTTGTTGCGTCAATCTGTCGTCGCACTGCTAGTGACAGATCTGCTCTGGTGTTGTACCCAATTTGACATCAGGATATGATTTCAACTTTTGGTTGCAATTGGGGCGCACTCGAGGACACAGTAGGCCCTGAATTTGGCAGCCTCGTTCCACAGGGAATTGTTTGCCGTTTGTTAACAATCCGCAAGCAAATGGTTAGCTGGGTATGTATATTATAATAGAAAAGGAGATTATAATCTTCTTATACAAGGAGTTTGTGATTACAAGAAAAAATTTATTAGTTTTTTTTGTGGAGAACCAGGATTCATCCATGACAGTCGCTTTTAAAAAGTCGTCTCTGTACAGGAAAGGCATAGATGGATTCTTGGGTCTAAATTTCTTATTGGAAGATTCAGCATACCCCTGTTTGGATTGGTTGATCTGTCCATTTAAAGACAATGGCAACCTAACTAAAAATCAAAAAATATTCAATTACTGCCATTCCGCAACTAGAATTGTAATTAAAAATGCTTTTGGGCTTTTGAAGGGAAGATTTAGGAGACTAAAATATTTTGAAAATGATAATTTAAAGTTTGTAGTAAAATGCATAGTAGCTGTTGCTGTGCTACATAATATTTGTTTGGACAATCAGGATGATGATGAATTTGATGTCGATGTCAATGATAATAATGATGAGAATATGACAGATGTAGCAGGAATTAGTGGCATAAATGAAAAGAATTCTAGAAGAGACGAAATTTTTGCAACAATGTTTATTTAGATATGTATATTTAAGAAAATTTGACAATAAATAAAAATTTTATTTTAACATAACTAACGGTTTTATTATAATAATAAACAAGAAACATAAACATAAATCTCCTTTAGTCTTTCTTTTCAGACATTTTATACAAAAACAAAACAAAAATAAATTAAATAAACACAATACTATAGCACTCTGCGTATGCTATTACTAGAGTAAAATATTTTTTGATTACTAAAAGTTTCTAGTACGAACTCAAAAATAATGTGAGAACTTGACTGAGAGTCAACCTTCGATTGAACGTTTGTAGTACTGATTATTAGTATTTTATGTAATTTTTTCTTTCAAGATCTTCTGTAAGTCTTCTAATGCCTTTATTTTCTTCTTTTCCATTTCCAGTTTTTCTTTATATAGATCTAGCTTTTCTTTTTTGTATTTCAAGCTTTCTTCAACATAAAGTTTTCTGCTGATTTCTTTTTCTTTGATTTTCTCCATTTTTTCTTCAAAAAATTTCTTTTTTACTTTTACTAGTTCCATTAATGGATTTTTTCTTTTTTGCGTACAAGATGAATCATTGGAATAAGAAGGTCTTTCTGAGCTGGTATCAGAATCGAAATTCAGTGTTGGTTCGACTTGAGTGTCTTGCGATTGCAATTCGTCAACATCTAATGAATGTGTGCTTGCACTCGATGGTGAATCGCCCAATAACTCATCCAATCTATTGTAAAAAGTGAATTTCACAGGACCTCTTCCCGTTTTAGATTGTACATCCTTTGTATTTTTATAGGTACGCACTAAATTTTGCCACTTTTTTTGCATGCCAATTTGGAAACCTAAAAATTAAAGGAAATATTTTTGGGTCATTATGTTCAACATGAAATAAATATAATTCAGACACTCACAAAGCAATCGTTTGAAAGAGCAAAAACAATAAAACAAAATTTAATTGCTTTTTTATTATTAACATTAATTATATAAATAATTTCACTTACTTCAATATTTTGACTACTAAGTTCTTCACTAATAACCGACCAAAAATTTTTTCTTTTATGTACGTGATGCATATCATCATAACGTGCCTCTACAGCTCCTATTAAGGCACAAGTTTCATTTACAGACCAGGTATTTCTTTTTTCTTTTGTCTTCGTAGCGTCTACATTTTCAACTTCGATCACATTACTTGTTCTTTCAGACTGGAATGAATTTTCATAGGAATTTTCAACTTCGTTTATAATTGTTTCTTTAAACTCGTGGCTTATGTCAATAATTTTTATAGTTCTTTTAACATTGTTATCACTTCCTTGATTTTTAAAATATGCTTCATTGTTTTCATGAAATCCTATTAAATTATTTGGAATCCACATTCTGCATTTTTGCTCTAAAATACATTAACTACATTAAATACATTAGAATAATATTGCACATAGTTTCTTTATTCCACAATATTTACCGGTATCTTCCACATAAAAATCACCATCACTATTAGTGATCCATCCATCTGCTATTCGCAATAAAAGATACGACATAATTAAAAGATTATTTACAAGATTATTTACTATCAATAATTATTTACAATTATTTTATGTCATTTTGTACTTACCTGCTTATTTTGGTAACAAAGCTATCGCATAACAATACAGATTCATAACCTCACTTTTAATGTGAGTCTATTAAACTCACTAAAGCACACGGTCTCGATTGTGTGCAGAAACCACGTAAAAACTCAGTTGAATCTCACTTGCTAGCATTAAAAGGAACGGATTCAACTGAATTATGACGTCACAAGTAAGAATTATCTGAGTTTTGATGTAAATGGAAAGCAACTATTATGAAATCATTTAGAGTTGAAATTGTTTAATAAACATATATGTCCGTAAATGCTTCCTAACAGAACTACAACCATTGAAAGTTGATGTGAATATTTGAAAAAAGAAAGAAAAGACATTTAATTTAACTTATTTATTTACAAATGTAATTACGAATTCTGTTCAAAATTATCTCCTGCAAAATTATCTCATTCAACAGAATTATGGATGCAGCAACGCAAATAAGAAATTCTCCTGGCATGGTGGAGCAAGCTGTTAGATCACTTTTACGCAGGGCAACTTTGTATAGAATCTGCAGGAAATAATTTTGAACAGAATTTGTAATACATTTGTAAATAAATAAGTTAAATTAAATGTTTTTTATCTTTCCTTTTTCAAATATTCACAAAATAATTGTTTTTAAAAAAAAGTATGTAATTATTTACAATGTATTTTTTTAAACAATTGTTTGTTTTTTTTACACTAATTGATTTGTCTCATTATTCTGTACATAAAAGTGTTACGGTAAGATTATCGGAAACTAAATATTTTACAATATATTTTATTTTTATATCAAAATATGTCAGATTAATATATAAAATAACTCGAAAAATACTTAATGAAAAAATACTTTATTATAGTGTTTGAAAAAGCTCTCGAGATAAGCTACAAGAATATGCAATGAAAAATAGACGGTCCCGTTTAAGAAAACATCGATCACATTGACCTGGCCTTGGAAAGGCCAATCAATTCACTCAAGGTCAAGTCCATTTTTCACAATTCACTCAAGGTCAAGTCCATTTTTTCATCATGTGGCCCCCTTCAAACCATGCAACTTTTGTCTGAAACATTTTTCCGTATCTGCCATATTTTTCGATATATTTGCCTACGGCATTTAAAATGGGATACCCTGTATATATAGGGTGTCGCATAATAACCGTATCAATTCTTGTGTGCAAGTAGAGCAGGTGAAATCGAGAAAAAAGTCTTTATCATGTTGCGATTTTCGTAATGATTATTGAGAAATTAATTAATTTATTGTCGATATGTCACATTCACACGACGTTATTTTCTGACGTTTGTTTGACGGCAAAACTAAAATCAATTACAGTAATAATATATAATAACATATATTAAGGTAGAAGTACCGATTGCCGGACATGTCCCTATATCCGGACATTTACATGAAAATTTATCATTATTAATCTCAAATGAATTATTTATTATAATATCAAAATTTTATTGCAAAATCTTTAATTTAAGGATATTTATATAGTAAGACATTTTTAAATATTATAAAAATTAACATCCAATAAAAAGATAAATTTGTTGCGTAATTAG